CTAACTTTTATGAAATCATAAATTGGAAAATGAAGATGCAACAATAACAACATATAATTCTCATCATATAAATCTTTAAAATTTTCCCTACACATCAAAGAGGAAATTAGAACAAAAGATCATTAAAAGAAAATATCCCAAATACAACCATTCTCGAAATAAGCACTTATCTCAATCGCGATTTTTAAGCCTGTCAACGCGCTGATTCAACTGCTCGATCTTGACAACAAGGTTAGTAACAGAGTAAAGAAGCCAGTAGAAAATAAGAGCGGCCGCGATGAGAAGCGCGTTTGCGTTGGCTTTTCATGATGGATTTCTGGTGACGGAGATGCTCGGAGGGACTACATGAATCGGCTTCGCAGTGAGGGTGCGTCTCGTATTTCCAATATATATCCATAAGAAGGAAGAGGCAGAAAGGCACCACCGATAAGAACGGTTTCAGGAGGTTACGTGTCACCGCGATCAAGGCCTTGCGGAGTCCGTCGAGGCCTGGGATTGTGAGGAGGAGCACCATGATAGCTTCCGCACCCGCGGCGTAACCAAGCACTACCCATTCAAGAGCCATTGCTTGTGAGGGAGGTGTGAAGAAAGGGAGAATCGAGTTGCGTTTTAAAGATTCAACTCCATTTGTTGTCGGCAAATTCTAATTTTCGATTTTTGGCTGATGGTGGACTTTGATCCAAGCCCAAATAGCAAAATTTGATGTACAATTGCCAATGGACTTTATATGATGGTCTTATGAGTTTCCAAGTAAGGCCTTAACGAAAGCTTTAAGAGCTTCCTCGGCTTGAGGTTAGGATTTTAGAATCTTTCGTGTTTTCGGTATAAGGCGATTAAATTTAAATATTAATTTTAATAATATTTATTTGACATAAATTTTTTATTAAATTTTTTAATCATAATTATAAATTTTTTTAAAATTATAATTACAATAATAATTATTATTATTTTTAATTTCACTGAAATCAATTTTACTATTTATTTAAGTAGAATCTAAATAATCTTTCATCTAAAAGTTTTGGCTTTAAATTAGATCTATGTTCTCTTGAAATAATTTATACGGATATTCATATAAAAAAAATTTTTAATTTGAAAATAAAAAAATAAATTATAAATATTAAAATTTAAAATTTAAATTTATTGGATATTATCTGTAACTGAATTAAATTCTTAATTTAACTTGTTCCTTTTATTTGTGCCATCATGAATAAGGGTTTGCATTGGTTGGCGAGGAACATTTGATCTGAAATTATGCCTCTGATGAGGATTCTTCGACTCTGAGCATCAGCTAAACAGGGAATCACTTTATGAAAGCTTTGGTTGTAATTGGTGGAACTTGGTTGCTTCCGAATGCTTTTTGCTCGATTCTCACCAAGCACCACAGCTAGCTAGCTAGCTAGTTAGCGCATAATAGTCCCGAAGGGCTAGGGTTCTAATCATGGACTCCCCCTCATGGCCCTTTAATTTAAAGATTACTTATAAAGGTTGCTCCATCCAAAACTAAAATTTGGGATTTATTTGGTGTTGTATATATTTTTCTGCAGCAAAACTTAAAAAATGTTATTATTTGAAGTTTTGGTTACACTTTATTACTTTTTTAAGCCTTGAGCAATGTTTAAAAAAATAAATCAAAGTTGAACCGGTGAAAGTTTCGGTTCCCGGTTCAACCGGCCGGAGGATTTTAACATTGAACAAGGACAAATGATAGATTGTATACAGGATCAAGAGGATCACCATCAAGAGCTCTTCTAAAATTAGATATAAAGATTGCTTATTTTAAAATACTAAGGCAATATACAATTTTGATAATTTTAAATTTAACCCATATGAGTATAATATTATATCCAATTTAACCCTCACATAATAATTTAAGACAAATATTAATTGTCCATGAATTAGGTTTTAATTTTCGGTGAGGATAACTAATATATTATATAGATATTTGATTTTGGTATTGAATAAAATATTAAATATTGTTAATGTTTAACAAATATATATATTTGACTAAATAATACAACCTTTTATGTTTTGATTTGCATGAGGGGTGAAAATGAATAAAAATAAAAAATTAATTAATTTAATGATTAAAATTCTTAATAAATTTTTAATTTTATAATTTAATCATTAAATTAATAAAATTTTCATCTTTATCTTTTTTCATCATTGTTGTCAAATAAAAATTTTAATCTTATCGTAATCTATTATAAAACTTTATCGAATCGAATAATTTATTGATTCAATTAATTAAATTGATCTATCCAATTTAATTTTTTTTCAACGCTGATTTAACAGCAACGAATAACGAATAACAATTGTTAATATATGTAATCTCTATTGTTGCGTTTTACATGAAATTCAAATCTAAAAAAATATTATTAAAATATAAAACAATACAGAGGAATTTTAACAGCACGTTGGAATGTGAATCCGGGGTTTAACTAAAAACGATTCGGCTTTAACTCATACGACTCACCTAATTATAAATTATTAACGTTGAAATGCAGCCAAAGGCAAAATTATTGTAGATAGAGAATAGTTTAAACCCAACTAACCTTAATCACATGATGACTTTACGGGAATGATTAAAAAGCCTAACCAGCCAGTTACCATACTTGTCTTCCATCAGTTTCTTCACTTGATGGTCAACATCGCTGCTATCATTTCTTTACATTTACCAGAAGGTTCATCTGTGTTGTTATTGGTGCCACGTTTACATTAAAAATGCAAGGATTCTGGTTGCATTTTGACTTTCTTGTCTAGGGTTTAAAATATATTTTAGCCTAAAACTGCTTGTTCAATGTTATCTTTTTTATTAAAAATTATCGGTAAACAGTAAAGAAAATTTTTAAGTTTTGAATTGATTGGATATATATATATATATATAATGTTACGTCAGTTTAATTATTTTATCATTTTATCTTATAAATATCTCATTTTTTATTTATAAATAAAATTATTCAGATATTATCATTTTAATCTCATTCTCTTTTATCAACCTTTTTTTTTTTTCATTCTAATCTCAGTAATCCCCACCTCTTACTTAAGTGTGTTTCTTGACTTTATCATAATATATATATATATATAATTTTAAAATTTTAATTCGAATTTAGTGTTATGGACCTAAAAAAGAGTTTTAAATTTCATATCGAACATAAAAAGAGGTCATTAGGATATAAAAGGGTTCACACAATTTTTTTTTTGTTAGACGCCTTTGGTAGGATAAAATCATGAGGTCAGGGACTAGAACGAATAATATCTCACAAGGATGTGAACCATGACAGATAGGTTGATCTGGCAGATAGGTTGATCTGGGATACCAGATGAGCGAATAAAAAGAGGTCACTAGGATATAAAAGGGTTCACACAATCTCTTTTTTGTTAGATACCTTTTGTAAGATAAAATCGTGAGGTCAGGGGACTAAAGCGAATAATACCTCACAAGGATGTGAACCATGACAGATAGGTTGATCTAGGATGCCGGATGAGTGGATGCCCTGATCCTGGAGCCATGCGAATTCGGAGCTTAAGTTTCGATAGGTTGATCTAGGATGCCGAATGAGTGGATGCCCTGATCTCGGAGCCATGCGAATTCGGAGCTTAAGTTTCGACCCGTGACAAGTGGTATTAGAGCCAACCCTAAACCGTTCGATCCACGTCAAACGCCTCAAGGAAGGTAGGTAGAGTGCCCAGGCCCGCATCCATGACGAGGCGCCACGAGATTGGCAGAGAATGTCACGGACCTAAGAATGAATCCTGAAACTCACATCGGACATAAATGAGGGTCACTGGGGTATAAAAAGGTTCACACCATCTTTTCTTTACCTTTTGTAGGACAAAACCGTAAGATCAAGGGATCAGAACGGATAATACCTCACAAAGATGTGAATCATGATAGGTAGATTGATCTAAGATGTCGGATGACTGGATGTTCGGGTTTCAAAATCGTGTGAATTCGAAATTTAAATCTTGGCCCGTGACATTAGGACTCAACACCAACACACAAAAGAAGAAAAAAAATTAAAGCAATGTTGATCTAAGATGTCGAATGAATGGATGTTTGGATTTCAAAATCGTGTGAATTCAAAATTTAAGTCTCGACCCGTGACATTAAGATTTAACACCAATACACAAAAGAAGAAAAAAATTAAAGCAATGTTGAGTCGTGGATGCTTGGAATTGTAAGATAGTTAGAAACCGATGCAAAAGGGACAAATAAGAACAAAGTATTCTTCAATCACGTCTGATAAAATAGCCAACAGGCCTTTGTTAAATTCACAACATTGCCTTAACAATTTTTCATCGGAAATGTCCTTTTAAAATCATCCACAAGGGATCAGATTCAGAAAAAAATTTTAATCAAAAGTGATATTTGAAATAAAAAATGTATAATCTAATGTCTTTCTTTAATTTCGTCTGTCAATCTACTCTACCCCTTAACTCTGTTAAAGAAAGCTTTCCCGACCAAATTCAGAAAAAATGGAAAAGAATTTCTGAAGCTGAAGGACAGAAATAAAACCCATCACATTATTTTTCCATAAAGAAAAGACGTTGTGGGGAACGGAGAAAAGGAATAAGTTTGGCAACTTGACGAGTGGAAAGTGACAATTTTTGTTAATGCAAAAGATTGAGAGATTAAAGATGAAAACGATGTTCATCAGAGATTCTTAAGCATTAATATATATTTTAATTGAACAACTTTTTTCCAATTTGTCACACTTTTTGTCACTTTGATTAACTCTCTTTTTCTTTCCTTCTTTTGTTTTTGTCTGATCTCTTTGTTAAAGCTAATCATTATCCAATTTCTCCTCCATCTCTTTGTCTAGGAATTAATATACAACGGGCTTTGAATTGCATTAGTGACACCAATGCATGATCCTTTCCAACGCACTTTCCATCTTTTTTTTTTTTAATAGCTGCTATAGCCCTTGGTTATGAAAGGAGAAAAATATAAAAACATGGTGCCAAAGGGTTTTAGAATGGAACAGAGATCAAAACTCTTGTGATAAAAAGCAAAGCCAAGTGGGATAATGGATGAGAGAGAAGATTCTAAGCTAATTCATCATTATATTGGCTTTGAAACAGAGGGAATATTGTCTTAATCATTGCTTGATTGTGGATCATTACATATCTACCAAAGCAAAAAACTTTGACTGCCCTTGTTTAATCAATAACTTGTTCTTAACTTTAGAGGGAACCATGGCCCCGATTTATATGGGTGATTACATAAAATGGAGGTGGAGCCAATTAGTCTTGCAAATATGAAAGCAAATCGAACATGGGTTTGACAGAAATTAAACAAGTATATATGAATGTAATTTTAATCTAAAGTATAGATGAATTCAAACTTTTGCCAACCATATATACTGGAAAGTAAGCAAAAGCTCTAGTAACACCCAACAAATGCACTAACTACAGCACTACAAACAGCACTTTTGCACAAAAGTGTTCACTGATTATGCATTCAGAAACAAGGTAGCCATGGTTAAAAAAGCTCAAGTGGATGTGGGCAGTATTAGTCTTTAGGCTTTTTCATCTCATTGCTAGTTTCTTTTCACTTGTTTCAAGGTACCGGTTTCCATAAACATTTTTTCCATCATTAACCCCTTAGAGATCTTCTTTACAGGGAGTATGAAAGAAACATAATAAAAATAGAGATGGGAGAGAGAAAACTCAAAGTCTAGAAAGCCAAAGTGCAGCTGAAGGGCCATCAAGGAGCAAAACATTTTAATTACCAGATGCAAAGGTTTTCATAAGATCCAGAAATTGTTTGTTTATTTACCACCTGCAAAAATTGAAACAAGGGAAAAGAAAATGAGAGGAAGAGAAACTTAAATTTTGTAAAAGCAACAAAGCAAAAGGGAGAAAGAAAAGCAGAAAAGAACAGAGAAAAGTGAAAGCATAGTCATTGAATTACCTTTACCTTTCTCACACACTTTTGATAAGAATGATATAAATACTATGATCAAAGCAACTCCAGCAATGAGCCCAATTAGAATTGCTAGTGTCTTCTCAATGTCATCATCATCGTTGTTAGTATCTACATACACAAACATTGGAAAACAACATCAGAAATGGCTGTCATTATCATTTGATGATGTGTACATGTTCCTAATTCCATCAGAGGTGCATGATAGTTGAGTGCTCTGATTGCATCAAATTGGCTGTTAAACCTCATCATCAAATATTGAATGTTGTTTCCAAATTTAGACTGCGTTTGATGAGAAAAATCAAAACCAATTACATGCTGAAACACAATCCTTTTCATTCTTACTATCTATCATAATTATTTTGATGATCAAACAATTTGGAATCAGTCTTAATGGCTTTGGAGAATTCTTACCATATACAAATCAATCCTTATGTATTACTCATTTGAAGAATATCCCAACATTCAGAACTTGAAATTCCATCTTAAAATTTTCGAGTTCAAATCTTCACGATAGATAGATTGAAATTATATGTGGTCAAGTGAGGGTTTCCCATTGTAAAATTTAACATATAAGAAAAGAAAATGTCTAATATATAATTAGAACATGAAAATCATGTCTGATTTTTTTTTCTTTTGGTGAGATGGGGGTGTTGAGGGCATTGGATTCTTCTTGATTTCAAATGGGACCTCAATTCAAAAGTGGGGCCATATTGGCCTCAATTCCATGCAAAATTATTCTACTATTAAGGATCTTTTACAGGTGATGACTTTGTTGTTCATTCTTCATACAACAAGGCTAAGGCACTTTAACATTTCAAATCTGTTCTCACACACCTAATTAGTCAAACTATATATAAATCACCATTCATTTATAATTCATCAAAATCAACGGTCTTCCATTTCCCATTACTTTTACCATAGTAATCGAATATATTAACCACATTTAGCACAATTTTCAACCCATGATCTCCTATTCAATGATAGAAAAAATAAAATAATAGAATTTTGGCATTGAATATGTTATTTACCAAAGATCCATCAAGTTAATTAATCACAATAAATGAAGCAATATTAATAAAGTTACGTTAAATTTTGGTACCACACAAAAAGAAACATAAAAATTACTATAAGACAACACCCAATTCCAATCTCACATTAAAAAAAAAAAAAGTTTAGAATTTACAACATATAGAATAATTTGGACATACCAAAATAATCAAAGATTTATCTTGTACTAGTAATTTCATGCAAATATTCACATTAAATTAAACCCAAACCAAAAAGAAAAAAAAAAAAAAACAAATGAAGAACCGCCATACAAGTGGTGGCGAAACCGCTTACCCTTTCCGCCGTGCGAGTGGTCGCCACCTTGTGAGTACCGCGCATAGCACTTGGCCAAGTACATGTCACCCCACCTGGCCGCCCCACACTCGGTTTTGAGCTGTCCGATTGCCTCTGATATGCAATCTTGGCACTCGCTAGGACTCAAATCCCCTACACACTGTGCCACACCCTGTAAATCCCCTGACCCGGCAACCCGAAACGGCTTGTAGGTCCCATCACTCGCTGCCAAGTAACCCAGCACCGCATCACGCCGAGTCAACGCATCGGAATAAGACGAAGTCATCGGCCCACATTTTTTAACCACCACGGTCTTGTCCTCCACGCCCAGAAAAGTTGTATTATCATATTTAACGAAACACCCTTCGAGTTGCAAAGCGCCACCTGTTGAGTCAAGGCAAAGAGTGCCGAGTTGACTCACCGCTTTAGCAACGCAGCGGCCACAGTCACCGTTGTTGAGGTCACCACGGCACTGGAACAGGCCGTAGACAGTGTCCTGAGAGGTGGAGCCTGCTGGCGTGGTGAAGTTGTCGTAAGAGGTAAACATGGCTGAGTTGACTAGGGAAGTGAGTATCGAGTTGACGTTATACTCATAAGGTGAGCCTGACATGAATTTCAGCTGCGAACACCCACCGAAAACGAAGGAATCAGTGGCTGAATTCGATCGGGTTATGAAGAATATCGATAATACGAGAAGAAGAAAAAGCGACGTTTCTTTCGTAGCTAAAGCCATGGGTGAAGATATTGAGAGAAAAAGAAGGGTTTGAAAGAGAATATAGAAAGGAGAGTGAGTGAGAGATGGCTTAAAGAAGAGGCTATCATAATATGAAAACACATAGATGACTCTGTTTCGTGTGTGTGAGAGAAAGCATGGTTTCCTTTGAGGGGAATTTACGTAAGGAAGAGACTAGCTTCATATTTCATATGAGTTTTTCATACATGATTGTTCTTTTTTTGTAACTTTACTTATTTTATTTTTTTATGTGGCAGATTGATATCAATTTTTTTTTTTTAATTTTGCATATTTCTTTATTTGTAAAAAAAATTTGATGTAAAATTAAAAATTTTTATAATTTTTTTTAAATTACACTCATAATTCACACATAATGAGATTTTAATTTTAATTTTTAATGTTTTAAGATCTCTTTTTTATCATTAAACTAAAGTTTTATTGATTTAAAAGTTTGTATAATTAAAAATTAAAAATTAAAAATGCGACAAATTATTACTATTATTAGTAATGTTTTAAGAATTAAAGCATACAAGTTCATTTTTGTGTGTGTGTTTAATTTTGTTGAAAAAAAAAAGACTTATTGTTGGATTAGGAATCGTGGACGATTGGCTATTGACAAATGAAGTAATTGGCTCAGTGTTGGTGAGCTTAAAGTCGGATGTCCATGAGGCACCGGTGAGGGTTGACCCATATTACATCAAAGATGGTTCTGGACTCTGGGATTAAGGGACTGTTTGGCCATGTTTAAGCTTTTTATAAGAAATGTTGGAGTAGAGCTGCTGCAAAAGTACTGTAAATAAAATTTAAAATAGTATTTGGAAAACTTAAAATATAAGTATTGTAGAATGTTGAAAAAACTATTTATAAATATTTTTATATGTTTTTAATAAATAAAAAATAAAAGTCAAAATTTATTAAAATAAAAAATAAATGTTTTTATTAATTATAATAAAAATAAATGAATTCAATAAAAATAGAGAAAATAAAAAATAATATGAAATAATTTAATTCTCCTTATAACTTTATAAATTATTGAAGAGTAAAGTGAGAATGTAAAATTTTTCATTAAATATTTGTTATTTAAATTAGCACTTCTTGAAAAAATTTTAATTTATAATTTCATCTAAAATCTCAAATTTATTTCCTGCATAAGCTAAAATTTTTAAAATTTTTAGAGCAAAACACATGGCTTCTACTTTTATAATAGATAAGCTCTGCTGTAAGTTGAGCCAAACACACACTAAACTATGCCTTCTATATTGTAATTGATCTATCAAAATAAACTTCATTTGTGATTATGTATCAATTGGTTAAATTGATATATTCCTAATTATTGATGTTTGCAAACCTTATCAGTCCAACCCTTGTTATTATTAATGCAGATTAATTACTTTAATTTTAGAAAAACATTGTTAGAATATGATAATCAAATTTAATTTGGTTGATTTTTTTCTTTTGCTAAAGTAAGATGTGAAATTTATAGACACTGTGACCATCCTAAATTTAGGTGGGTTTTGTATATAGCCAGCCATTTTGTGGTGGAAAAAGGCACAAAGCAAAAGTAGCATGGGATTTACTGATTACAACTGTAAATTAATAAAGTGGGTAATACAGGAAAAACATTGGATTTAAGCACAAAATCTTTTATGAACAAATCTTACCAAGAAGTGAATTTTTATTTCTAATTCACCTAACTTTATTAACCTAAGTGTAATGAAAATTTAAAATAATTGTTCACCACAAAAAGGGGGTGACTCTTGATTTCCAAACGTTAACTTTAAAGATATGTCATTTCAATTTAAGATTTATATTTTATGCAATTTTAGTGTATAAAATGTTTTACGTGATCAAAGAATCACGTAATGACATTTTATATAAAGTTAATTTTAAATCTATTTTTGAGATTAAATTTATTTATTTTTTAAGATTTTAAAATTAATTTTTTATGAAGTGTTATTGCGTAATTCATTAATATGTAATAATAGTGTTTCAAGTATAAATTCTTGGATTTATATGTCTTTTACATTTTTGGAGATTGTGTTTGGAAAACAAGATTATAATAAAATAAAATAAGATGATATTATGAATAGAATTAAATTAAATAATATCGTGATATCTTGTGTTTAATATGTATGTTAGGATTATGATAAGATAATTTTATTTATTAATCAAAATTATCTTTTCTTAAGTTTATATAATTTAAATTATTGATGTAATTTTTAAAATTATAATAAGACACTTAAATTCAATCTCACATATTAAAAATAATTCTCACCACTTTGGAAGAATTGAATCATCTTATATCAAGATAATGATTAATTTTTCTTATGATTTTATCTCTTTTTTTTTTAAATATCAATCAAACATGGTAAATGATAATTATCATTTTATGCATCAAACATGATATAAAAAACTTATCTTGTATATGATAAAAACTTTTTTTTTTCATTTGAATTTATTAAATAGATGGGTTATGCATTGAGCATTTTTTTTTTTTTTTAATTTTGAAAGAAAGGAGATTTAAACCAACTTTGTTACACTCTTTTTTGTATATGGATGTTGTACAAGTAGAAGTTTCGGGCAGACTGATGAAAGGTCCTTTTCCTTTGATGATGTTGAGGATTGGAACCCTATCTTTGGTACAATAATGCCTCCATGTTCATGACTGTGCGTGGAAAATCATCCTAATTCTTTTGTGACACAGAATTTGATAGTACAACATTTATTTATATATAGAGATATAGGGCTTTTGCCTTATAGAATAGGGTAAAAAATAATCGATGCAACCATTTTTAATTTTCACAGTTGCATAGCTTAATGCATATAAGAACATCCTTTCTTGCTTTTATTCTTGGAGGAACAATTTTTTTTTTTTTTTATACTGGGGTTGGGGGAAGGACGCAATGGACTCAAATTCCTACCCTGCAAGCAATCCAACACTTTAAATAGGTAGGTGAATTATCTAAGCTAAAGCCTTAGGTTCTAGTGGAACTTATTTTTAATAAAATAATTTTGAATCCGTAAATCCAGTTGATTTATATTATTATTAGATGACATTCAATAGATTTGATATTCAAATATCAACAAACATCATCTCTTCTCTTATTGTTAGGTTGTGATTTTTTATATATAAAAAAAGTAACTTTATTTTTAACAAAGTGTATATAATATTGTAATCCCTTCATCTCATAATAATTAGTGTTTAAGTTCGACTCATACTAAGTTTAACCTTTTTTTTTTTTCAAATTATTGTTGATAAATTTTAATAATAAAATACTTTTTACAATTTTTGTATAAGGTAATTTTTCATTTATATTTTATATATGTATGTAATTTTTGAAATTTTAATTGAATAAAATGTTTGAAAAAAATTAGATCAAAGTTAAATAAATTTGAGTCTCAAAATCAAACTAAAAATATATGTATGTAATCTTTGTTCAAATCCAAGTTACTTCTTTTGCTATCCTCCATTATTCTCTTGTAATTAAAAAAAAAAAAAAAACAGATACAATATTTTTATTTGTATTCAATCCATGCACAAAATATTTTATTAGTACAAATTTGTAATCAGAAGTTTCCTTCCCTCTTTAATAAAATATTCATTTTTGCCACGGACAATTCTACCATATGTATGCCCGACATTTTTTAATTGTCATTATAATACTACTATTTTTTTTTAAAAGAAAAAGGAAATTTCTTTCCCAATAATTCTTCGGTTTTCTCAAATTTCTTGCTCTGGAGTTACTTGAATTCAATGTAGACTTCTGTAGTTTTATCAAATATTAATTATGTTCATGAAAATGATCATATATCATTTTTTTTTTTTTGGTTACATACCAATAAGCTTCCTTTTCTCATATTTGTTTGACTGTGGAATTCCTTAAAAAAAAAAAGCATTTAGCAGCTTCAAAATACTAGTCTTTTTTAAGTCATTGCCATAAAAAATCTATGTTTTTCGAAAGGAGGTTTTATCCCAACAACAATGAAAGAAATTTTTTTCTTCGATTCAAATCTCATTATACGTGAATTTAACTTGATTATTTGGTTAATTATAGTTATAATGTGTAATCTCGTTAAAAAAATACCATAATAGAAGAAAGTGATTAAGTGAGAGAAGTTATCAATAATGAAACACATATTAATTTGAACTTTTATCTAATTCTCAAGTTAGCGAATGTGTCACGAGTCGAGACTTAAGCTCCGAACTCGCGCGGTTTCGGGATCCGAGCATTCACCCTTCCAACGTCCCGAATCAGCCTAACCGTCACGGTTCACACCTTTGTGAGGTATTGTCCGCTTTGACCCCCCTGACCTCACGGTTTTGTTTTACAAAAGGTGCCTCACAAGACGAAGATGGTATAAACTCTTATATACCCCAATGACCCTCCTATTATGTTCGATGTGAGATTCAAGACTCTCTTTAGGTCCGTGACAAATGAATCCACAAAACAAGTAGACATGAGCCTCCCTGTATCTTTGCCTAATTTGCCAATCTCTCTAGGGGAGTGGAAGAGCAAGAACGGCTTGTTCCATCAAAGAAAAACAATGAAGGGAGAAACGACCAAGAGATGAAGATAAGAGGGAAAAAGGGAAGGTCACATTCAATAATTAAAACAATTTCCTATTATTTGCATATATATTTATCAAAGTGATGGAAGTTTTTGTCTTTGCTTTCATGTGCCCACAGCACTTTCAGGTCTATTTATGGGTTTAACTTAAACCTCCGACCAAACTGTTGCCATTTTGCTGCTACATTAGACAAGGTTTAAAGAGGAGCTCCACGGCAAAAGGCTCATGTCTTGGTATAGCTTGATTTTGGGTTGGAATTGGATCACGCAATGTCTGTCTCGACTTTGGAGCCTGCAAAATAAAGCAAGTGTGCCATCGTTGCCAATCATTGATCTCTCTTGAATCAAATTATTATCATGGGATTGGAGTTGAGTTGTAGATTCCAAGAAATAGGATGATAAAAGTTCTATTATGACTGGAGTATCAGTCTCTGATATACGTCCTGCCCTGGAAATTTTGTCCTTCTCTCATCACATATTGAGATTAAATCCGAAACATAACTCTCAAAAAAATGTTTAATTAAGCCATAGCATTACTAAAATCAGTATTAAATACACAAATTTATGCTATAGAACTTTGGACATTGATCCCAAATAAAGTTCAACATGAAATTTATATGAATGTCTTTTTTTTTTTTTAATAAGAACATACATTTTTTTTTCTTTCTACTATTACAAATTCTAAACAAAAAACACAAATAATAATTAAATTAGAAATCCCTAATTCAAAATCTTCGCAACCCGCTTGAGGTCGAGGAGACCATAGAGAGTATACAAAAAGCATTTTTTACAACCAACTGCATAAGATAAAAAAAATAATAAAAGAAATAAGATTAAAATGTATTATAAGTCTTTGTAATTTTTAATTCTTAAAAGTTTCGTCCCTTTAATATTATTTATAAAAAATTTAATCTTTATAATAATATTTTATAAAAATTTCAGTTCAATCGATAATAATGTTCAACGATTAAATTTTTTAAAAAATAATATTATAATAATTAAAATTTTTAAAAAACAATATTACAATCACTAGATTTTTTTAAATAATACTATAAGGATTGCTTCAAACCATTAATACTTATTTAGATTCTTCAAAATAAATAAATAAATCAATGAATTCAAAAGGAGATAAATTATAGATTAATTCAAGCCATTGCAAATTGATCAATATAATAAAGGCTAGCTCATTACGATTTCTTTATGGTAGCTGCTCGTTCCCTCTCCATATGTTCAAACAGGCTTCCATCATAAACAGCCCTAATTGTTTCTTTCCTCAATAATCCATTGTTGTCCTTGCAGAGACAGTATAAAGTCTTCCATTCTGTCCAGCTAATGATCCTGCGATGTTTTTTCCCAAAATTTTTCAGTATTTTTTTCTTTAATTTGTAGATTATTGTTATTTATAATTGGACAAAGCAATTTAAGAAGTAATTAATTACGTACCATCCTTTGTAATCCTGTGGTTCCCTGTTAGCCTTGAGCATTGCCATCAGTTCATCAGATGTCAAGGCACTGGCATGTGTACGGGCGAATTTGATGAAGATTTCTTCAAACTTCAAGCGTACAAATCTATCATATAATTCTAAAATTAGATATGATCAGATCATAAAATAATTCACATGAGAATACCAACCAAAATGAGATTTTTTTTTTTTTTTCATTTACCTTCCTTCACTGTCATATACACCGGAGTCACTCCCATGCTTTGCCAAGTGGATGTTTTTTACCTCAATGGGGAAGAGAAGAGACGGAAATTTTCCCTGCACCAGATAGTGGAAAATATGATCATACACCTAAACCAACTGATCATAGATTATCAATTACTGATCTCTGTATATATAGTTCTATAAATGCAAAAGAAAAAAAAAAAAAAAACAAAGAGAGTTCATGGTGCTTCTCACTTCACAAAGTACTATGTAATTGTTTTTCCTCTTAATCATTGCATATTTGACAAATCCCAGGTACCTATTCTTCACGTTATGGAAACTCTATATGTATAGTCCAAATGACCAACCAGAAAACTTAACGTTTTGACTCATAGACGACTAGAAGACGCGAGGTTCAAAGGGGGAACAAATGAATAAATAAATAAAGGGCGAGATACACTCATATTATAAATTATTTTAATTATAAAAGATAAAAAAATTAACTAAAAAAATATGTATTAATCTTTTAATTCAACTTGTGAAATTAAAAAATTACATTAACAATATATTAAAATCAAATTCTTAAAATATATCAAGTTTAAATTGTACAATAATCAATTGAATATTTTCTTTTTTTATATATACAAACAATGAAGATTTCACAAATTCATAACTTCATTCGATGATTTGATTTAACATAAAAATTACGTGAATTTTTTCTTCCGAAAAACTAAATTTAAATCTTCTTTTTCAAATAAAAAATCAATAGACTAAACAGGATATTCATAATCAGTTGTAAAGATTCATGCAATCTTGAGTATTTATCCTTTAATATAGAGAGAATAAGGTTCTTCAAAATATTGCTTATTAATAGCCCTTCTTTCAGACCTGAAATCCCGAGTTTTATTAGTAGAAATCACAAGATATTTTCACCAAAGACAGGACATGAAATCAAAATTAATTTGAAACAAACCAAAAAAAAAAAACAGAAAAACAGGGATCAGGAAAACAAATGTAGAAAATGGAAACAGAATAAATGACAGAAAGAAAAAAAAAAGTGCAAGGAGTTTACAGGGCGAGTTTTGCCACTAAGAGCAACGTTGATGAAGATGGCACCTGCCATTGACAAGAAATAACCAGCCCCAATTGCTCTAAAACCTGCTAATCAACCCCCCAAAACCAGAACAAATTAACCTTTAAAATAGAAAAAAAATGAATTCAATGGTCTTTTTAAGAAAAAAAAAAAAAAAAAAGGAAAGAAGGAACCTTTAAAAGTCTCCCATGGATAAACGAGGCCATCATGGTTCCTGTCAAAGAATGCAACATGTTTTTTCAGAACGTTTTGGTCAGTAGGCATATATCTCACTGCATCATCATCATCATCATCAACTCCTGCATATACACATTTTCTTACAATTAATTACTAACAAAAACTCTTCAAAATTAAGGATATAAATTTGTTCATACAGATTCAAGAACAGAAAGTTGCATACAATTAAATATATAAGCATATAAACATACCCTCTTGAAAATCTTTCGATGGCAAAGAAGAAGCCATGTGTAAGTAAAAAAGCCTCGGATCAAATCAACAGTAAGTGCAAAGAAGGAGATTGGTGGTCGTGTGTGGAGGGGTGGGGTGGGTGGGGTTATGAAACTGAGAAATTTGGCAGAGAAACGATGGGTACTGATAACAGACTTGACAAAGAAGGAATAGAAACTCAAATTAACCGTAAAATTGTTAGTTTTTTTTTTATATATAAGGAGGTCATAATTTAAAAAAAAAATTATGTCGGAATTTCAACTTTAAATATTGAATTTATTAGCTTTGCTATGCGTTTTTTTTTTATTTTTTTAATAAGATGAGATTATTGCAAGAAAGACTCGTGGATTGAATATTATTGCTAAAGAAAATTAGAGAATCGAGGAAAAGAAACTTTAATCTGACAGTTATAATGAAAGAAACGACACAAGAGTGACTATTGAGTGTAAAAGAACCTCATTCGCTTTGAAAATGATACGTCAACAACGGCAAACAAAAGTTCTTTTGGTCTAAATATCAAAGAGTTCGATTCCTTTTATTTAAAGTTTCGATTTCAAATTTTATAAATAAAAAAAATAAATATTGAGAGAATTTATTTTCTTATAAGGTATCGTTTTGATGTCGAAATAATAAGATCTTAAAGCAATTATCGGATACTGAAAAATCTCAAAAAACAAAAATGTTCCTTACTTGCTTTACTTAACTGCCAATTAATTCTTTAGAATTTGGGAAAAAGAGAAAAAAAATTGTATATTTGATACAATGTATATTTAGAATGAATCATAATTAGGCATAAATTAGAAATGCCATGGTTAGTTATATCATTTAGGATGCATTTTCTTTTACGTGATCTTGAACTGTATGTACAACAATAAATAACTATTTTTCATTTTAATAAATCTCGTATCTCTCTTATCTTAATATTTAATCATTAAAATATATATTTTTATCAATAATCATGTGATCTAATAATAGAATATCAAATTTTTTATTTTAATAATAAAAACAATCATAAATATAAACATGAGAATGTGTCATTTTTAAATTATTAATTTCCAAACAATTACAACAAGTGCATGTGTTTTTGATGAAAACTATATAAGCAAGTTTTACCAAATATATACTTCCATCCCATCATCTAAAATTGATTTATTGCAGTGTCTATTTCCAAATTCCATCAGTGAGTACAAAATAAAAGGTGACTTTGAAAATGGAATTTAAAATCTAAATATTAAAGTCCAATTATGAATTTCTTGGAAAACAATAAATAATTTGTTTTGAAAGCTCATGACTTTGTTTCCTCTTCTTGTACTTGTAATGGATAACATGAAAAAGAAAGAGAACCAATAGGATAAAACGACAGAGATTTTTCTGTTGGCAAAAGATAAAACGATAACTAAGGAAGGTGCCCAGATTTAAACACAAGAAGGATAGAAAAATGTAGGTCTTCGTTATTGCCTTTTGCTTTACAGCAACAAAGCAAGCACTTCCCCTGGAGAAGCCACACGCATCGTTGCCCTCTGGCGTCACATTTACGCAAAACGATGAATTTTTCTACGCACTACACGGCCAATTTTTAACGGGTCCATTGGATAACTGCATTTACATTTACTTTAGTAATAATCAATTCGATCGATTCGTTTAAAAAATCAATAAATTAATCGATTTTCATTTAATAAAAATCGAACCGACCAAATATAATAATCGAATAACGAACAGTCATATCGGTTCGATCGTTTATAAATACAATTTTTTTTATCATTTTCTTGTTATGAAATAAATATTTTAATATAATTCTTCATAATTTAAATCTTATCATCATAACTAAATTATAAATTTAATAATTTCAACAATATTTTATCAAAAAATAAATAAATAAAAATATTTATTTTAATTTTTTTATTTTTAATTATTAAAAGATCGATTAATTCGATCAGTACGGTTATCAATTTTAAAAACCGAAAATCGACCGAATTAACCAATTTAACCGATTTAAAAAATCGATTATAATTAAAACCGAATAAACCGAATCGATTCAACCAATTTCATTCGATTTTGGTCGGTCTAGTCGGTTCAAACCGACTTTTGCTCACCCCTACATTTACTTTTCTTTTTTTGTATGAAATAATTACTCCATTTTCACATTTACTTTTGTATTACATGAAATGATTACATTACTATATTTTTTTATTAAAATTACTTTACATAAATATACTACTAAAAAATTTTAATTATTTATTACACATTAGCATATAAATTTAATAAAATAAATCTTCATCATTTAAATATCACATGTGATATATAATAAATAATTAATTTTTTTAATAATATAATTATATAACATGATTAGAATGAAAATGACACATAAAATAATTATTTTATACAATTTTTTATTTTTTTATGTAAATCAATATATTTATTATAGTCAGCCCAGAATTTTGAGAGAAAGCACATGCAATTAATATAACAATTTTCTCAAACTGGTCGAGGTTCCAAGTTCCAACCTCATTTTGTCCTTCTATCTAACTTACATCAAATGAAAACAATAAGAGGAAAAAAAAGGCACACTCACTAAGATTGATATCAGCACAACTCGTAAATTTTGAGTGTCATCGAATTCATCAGGAAGTTCGATTTATTTAACCACCATTTTTGGTGGAACTCAGGACATCTTTCTCATACACAAGCATATATATATATATATATTGATGGTGCCGTGCCGGTTGCTGGAATCATCTAGTGCATATATTTTATATACATTTATATTCATACAACTCCGATGAAGTTCAAAGGATGCAACACTTCAGCACTAAACCCTTCTGATCAAGCCTTCCATCATCGTTGCCTAGGAGAACATCATAACAGTTTAAACTTTTATATGACATGCATCAAAGAGGGAACAAATATGCACTAACGAGTGAAAATCTATATCTATATTGCGAATAGCCATGATCTATCATTCCATGCAACAATCAATATTCTTCTCCATTAGAATTTGACTATTCTAAAGAACTAAGCTCATTTTAGAAAAAAAGACAAGCTTACGGAACTGACACAAACACAAAAAGGCTATGGATACGGCAAGAAAATCAGAAGTAAGACCGACACACCTTCAGGAGGCTGAGCAAGCTTCCTGTTTTGTGGAGACATCATTTCCTTCTTCAGCTGAGTTAATATATCTTCCATTGTATACTCCCTTTGCCAATTAACTAGCATGGGGAAAAGGCTAGGTTCAACCTGGCAATTTAGCAGCTATAAGGATCATATCATAGCATAAAAGGTCCCATGAACAACATCACCTACCACTCCAGTTTCTTGATTGACACAGATCATGTTTATCCGGGTTTGAAACCTCACACTTGGTGGATTATCTGGATAATCCTTGCCACAGAACAGTTTCAATTGGTAGATGCGTCCTTCGTGAACAGTCTGGCATGCAACAACAGTAAGCAAGATATCAACTCATTTTCATTCTATGAAATGATTAGTTTTAAGAGGAATTATTATTAATTACTCATCAATTATCATAATCATGCATTCAGGTTTCATAAGGGATAACAATGATGACATTTTCTTTTTTTTTTCGGATAAACGTGTAGTGATGTTGATAACATTTTTGCACATTCCATTTATGAACGAAAACATATCTATATGCACCATCTGCTTCCCTAACATAGTAATTGGTGGAGAATTAACAAGGACAATGTAAGAAATTTTAAAAATCAATAATGGGGGAAGAGCTTTTTAATTTTAGTTAAAAGCTCTAATATTTTTACATAGAGACAGTGTATTACTTTGTCATAAGCTGAGAGAAAATTGAACTCTATAACAAATGTTCAAAGCTGTAGCTAAAATGAGTTGCAAGAAGGATTATGATCATAGAGCTTGTATGAAATACTTCTAGGTGACAGTTCTAAGGAGGCTCAATAGTTTTACAGGTAATACCTTAATTTTTCAGACACAATGCTTGGAATAAATTCAAGTAGGCAAATTATGTGATAAAATAGGGACCAATAATCAAGTTCGGATGGTAGACTAGAAACTCATTAAGCAACTTTTATGGAGAAGTATAGAGAAATTTCTTGCTTTTTTCAATAAAAAATCTTAAATGCGAAAAGCACTACTCTCTTCTCTGATGTTTCAAGCTAAATTTGCCACCGTAATGTACATGTCAACTCTGAAGTTGGGCTTAGACACATTATTGTACTTATCCACACCAATTCAGAGACATGTGCACCAACTACCCAAAAAGACCACAATAGAGAGAGAGAGACTCACACTAGGGGGGCCAATAATAGTGCCAGTCCATGACTGCATGTATATATCATCAGCATCATCCATTCCATAGCTAACAGTTCCATCCCCAATTCCCTTTTCACCTCTCTCAAGCTCTTCTAGCAATCTGAAATTCCTGGGCACTGCAAAGACCAAAAATTTTAGTCCCTAGGTCAGGATTGTAATAAAGTCACTCTTGACGTTTTCCTTAAGTCCATCTTTATTAAATGCAGTTTCCAAAAATATAAAAAACAAGTTTCATCAAGAGCAAAAGTTAAAACCTAAGAGTAAAAAGAAATGCTTGCACGTTATGTTAAATAATGGAAAACAATAGACAAAGAACCCAGAAACAACTGAAGTGATCCTATAGCATATAATAGCATATGCCACAAGTTCCACTCATAAGTTCATCATTAACAAGGTTTAATCCTATACATGAATGAGCACAAAAAAACAAACATAGAGACAAAACTACTACTTTCCCCTCATAAATAGTGTAAGTTTGGCTGCATTATTTAGAGACATATGTGCCACTGTTGCCGCTCAATCAATGACAAGCTTTTCTACTGTGAGCCTGCAGTCGGAGGAATAATCTACCCAACTCTCAAGTTGGTTTCACAATAGAGATTGCAACCAAAGCCCTCCAAGATCAAATGCCACTACATAATTTGAAGTGTCTGGATGGCATTGATACCAAGAAAAGTTCACTTGTCAATAGCCAAGAGTGATGATCCTCAATGGCCAAACGTATGACATGAGATGGTTGAGGAGAAAAGAAAGGCATGATTTTAGAACCATAGAAGGAAACTTTTATGGCCCGAAAAAGTGGTCAAGGAAGTTTCCTTGATTTAACTGACAATAGAAGTTTCCTTGATTTAACTGACAATAGACTTAGTTTCTCAAGTCTGATTATATTTACTAAGTTTCAGCATCTCTAATGTTAGATTCAACATCTTCCAACAGGCATCTTCATCAAGCAACATTCTCACCAAATGAGAAAAAATCAATCATCTACTGAAGCTGTTAAGTTCTTCTCACGTGGCGAACAAAATATTGACTTTTCCACTTTCCTTCTTTTTGACTCAGCATACATGCTTGCATGTAAATCTTGGGTATTCACAGTTCACACCTCAAAAGCTAAGGAGTCCACCAAGAAATTTATAGGAGTCCCAGATCACAAAAAATAAGTCATCTATCCTAATACTAACACGAAAGCATCATCCAATCTCATTGTTATAACTTCTCTTGTACAAAACTCACTGTTAACTGTAGTTGAAGCCTCATGCAAAGAGCTTGGAATTTTTTATTAGGATTATCATACGCACTCATTTTTTTCTTACGCTGTATACCTGACCATGCACAGTGCTTTGCTTGTTTGATGGCAATCCTGATTTGTACTTCTTTCTTTTGTTCATTCATTGTATACTTGACCAGGATTTCATCTACCAATTAGAAAACAGATAAAAACTATACATGAAACATACAGCCATCCTTCATCAACACAAACCAGAGATTAGGAATTCTGTAACAGCAAAAGTTGATTCAAAGAAATCAGCTTATCTCTTCTTCTTTTTTTTTTCTCTTAATTATCCATCACATGCTCACCAAGATGAGTTCTTGAAGCATCTCAAGGAAAGAAGTCACAATTGTACATTTATGTGACCGGTTCTACACAGCCAACAATTTCTTAGAGCCAACCGAGGATATTATGGAGAACTGCAGGTCATAATCTTCATTTACTTAAAACAAAATCATTGCCATTCCATTGCAAGCTAAACCCCATACCTCTGTTTTGAATGAAAGCTAATACTTGGTTAAGAGGACCAGCACCTCATTAACAGTTGCACATGCATACCATATCAAGAGTATTGAAAGTTAATCTCAACAAATCCCTTGAGAAGAAGATCAACAGTCTTGATGTATGAAATGAGTCAAAGAAAAAAAGTAGCTTCAGAGCTAGCACAGTCCATTAATCATAGTCAAAATGGCCATTTTAGCAAAATTTCATGCAGTATATATAGCTGTAATATGCTACAAGCGCTAGGCGCTAGGCATAGAAAAAAAGTGATGATACTTGTTTAAAGGTTATTGCTTCTTCTTCAGAATACACTCAATCAACGTCAATATTCCTTATTTGAAACAAGGTACACTCAGCAAATATTGCCATATCTAATCAGTTATAACATATTAGAATGGCTCTGTTACAGCTAGAAGTATAAATAAATTAAACTCAGAAGAGTACTTCAGAATAGAAAGTCAAAAAGAAAAATGAACCAAAAAAGAAAAAGAAAACTATTTCAATCCACATTCAAGCAAGGTTTCAGTTACAAGTCAAGACCTAACAAAAATGAAAAAAACTTGAAAAAACCAAAGACACTAAAATTTTCACCTTGAATATCAATCCAAGCACAAAAGATTCCATTCTCAAGCATTTGGAAACAGTAACTTTAAACTAAACAAAAGAAGACAAAATATCAAAGCTAAGACCTTATTTTCTACCAAATCCAAGGATATGAATATACCCTTCAAAGCTCCATCAACAAAGGAATGATAACAAACTTTCACTGATAAAAAACGTTGGGGAATTTGGGAAACAAATGAGGGAAATCTAGGGCTTTGAAAATAAAAACTTACTAACAACCCTTGATCCTTCTGAACCCATTTCTCCTTTTGATCGTTTCAAATCAAACAAAAAAAAAAGTTAGGGATTTCTCTGATTCAAAAGAGAAAACCCAACAAAAAATTGAGAGAAAAAGAAAGGAGGAAAAGGAAGTTGCAGAGAGAGAAAGACGAATTGCTCGAGGGAGTTCGGTTTTGGTGTCCAAAACCAACCACTACTGTTCATAAGTCACAACACTCCATGGTCCACTACCGCCATGTACCCAGCCACAATGTATGGTAAGAGAGGGCAATAAAACAAAATTTACAAAAAAAGAAAAAATGAAAAAGGAAAATGATTGCCTGCTCATACTCTGTTCTTCTTTCTTTACATCTTCATATTATCATTCTTTTTCTTTTTGATTGAATTTTTTTTCTAAAACAAAATCTTATTATAAGTTAAAGATTAAATGTTAAGAATTGTTGCTTCCATTATGCAAAATCAAGAAAGTTTATTTATGAAATTTAATCTAAAATCATTTACATATAGACAAATGACCTTACTAATTAAACTAATTATCTATAATTTATTACTTTTACATGTACATTAAGTTAATAATCAATAATTCACTACTTTTAGATGTATAGCTTTTATTTATTTATTTTTTAAGGTTAGAGAGGTAGATTACATATGAAGTAAAAGAAATACTTTGAATTAAAATCCGTATAATGTGGGTAGAAGACAATTTTTGTTTCAAAGAAAAATGTAATTATCTCAAAAAAAAAAAAAAAGTGTGAGTAATTTTGGAAGGAATGGTGGGTAGTTTTTTTAAGTAAAAATAAGTAATTTTTTAAAAATATGTCCATATATAAAAAGTTGAAAGATATGAATATCACTTATTAGAATTATTAGGGTAGTGTTTTTATATTCCTTAATTTTTAGTATTGGTGGTGAACTTTTATCTCTTTTAATTTAATATTTATATTCTGTCATTATTCAAATTCTTGTAAGTTGTTTTCTTTGTGAGTTTTTCTGTTTGCAGATACTCTTCAACATCTTAACCATCAATTCTCGGCATTAGTAATAGTATATGATAGGAAATTTATGTAGTTTTTGACTTTATAAATATGATTATTGATATTTAGTTTTGTTAATTTGAGATTTTGCTTAAGGACAAACAAAGATTTAAGTGTGCAAGTGTAATAGCATCTAAATATATAATTTTTTACATGCTAAAAATGGTGCTAATATTTAAAATTTGGATGATTTTTTGTGCGTTTCATATTGTTTTCATAATATAGGGTTTCAAGCTCATGGATATCATTTTCATGAAATGAGCAATTTTAGCCTAATATTGGAAGCTCATAGCTGAACCACATTGATCCACAAGATAGAGTTCTACTTGTATAAAGACACTTTATCATGTTCGGCCAAAATAAACCTAATCCTGGAATGCTTCCTTTGTTTAACCAAAAAGAAATTAAGTTTGCATAAGGATTTTACATTCAACTAGATTATTACCCAAAAGGGAATAATTACTCATATAATGCTTCAAGAGTTTCAATAGATCATGAACCTTAGCATAATCAGCCAAAGGAGTTTATCTCATGAAGAACTTTATCCATTTGGCCACATAAAAGGGAAGCTTAATTTGCAAGATCATGGACTCTTCAATCACCATCCTGTTCAACTAAGATTCCATCCAAAAAAACCTTCATGCAATTTTCTAAGGCTAAATACATTCAACCAAGAAGAATTTGAAGCTTACCTTGAGATTTGTTGCTTAGCCTTGAAGATTTTCACTTGGAGTAAGATTTATCCTTTTAAATTTCAAGAATTGGATAAAAAAAAATTTATCTCTTTTTGAATTTCATCCCAGCTGAATCCAAAAGAGGAGATTTATCAAGATTTAATCAAGACTTAATCAAAGGCCAAGATCACTCCTTCAAAACTTCATTTGGCCAAGCATACTCAAGGAAGAGAAATCCCATTTAGCCATGCCTCTTTAGAAGATGAAGATCAAGCTTATCATTTTATATTTTTTATTACTTTATTTTTATTTTTAAGTATATTATTGATTAAATTATTATCACTTGACTTGTAACAGCACACACAATCTATCCTATTATATATAATATAGATATTAATAATAAAATCTTAAATTGAATTGGTATCATGAGTAGAGTAAATTAATTTAATTAAAAAATTGTATTTATGAATATATATTTTAAGATAGTGTTTGGTATCATTTTTAAGATCATAATTATAATGTAACCATTGATGTGATCTTATTACCAAGATGATTTTATTAATCGTAATTTGAAATTACTTTATTTAATTAACAATTATTAATTTATAGAAATTAAATATTATTGTATTTAGTATTATTAAAAATTAAATATTATTTTATATAAAAGTATAAAATGACCATTGCATATTGTAGTAGTATACAAGTTAATAATTTTAATATTGTTTAAAAATAATAATTTGTAAAATATAATAATATTTGTTTATTTTATAATAAAGTATGATTAAATTCTTACATTAAGAAATATCTTTATTTATTAGGTAAATCAATTTTTATAATATAAATTATGTAAAAAAATTAAATTAAAAAATAAAAATAATATATCAAACTCATAATAAAAAATAAAAAGATTATATTATATATAAAACATTAAAAAATAAAACAATACATAAATTATTTTTGACTAACATTAATTTGAAAATATAAAATATTATAATATAAAATAATTACAATTTTAAAAGAAGCAAGTTTTTAATTTATATATTAAATAAGTAATATTGACTGTTATTAATTATACATATCACTTTGTCTTTATAATAAAAAATTTTACCTTTTTGAATGAGAATTAAATCACCCTCTAAGTTAGAGTTCGGATCACTCTCAGTGATCTAAGGTAAGTCCCATCTAAAATCATTAAGTGTTTACTAAATAAGATAATCTAATTACCATGTGTAAATCACTATAATTTTTAGAATGATCATTCTATATCAAACATTATTATTTTTTAGTTTTCTCTTAATATTCTTCTACATAAATTGATCAACTAAATTGGTATCACTTAAATTTTGAATTTGTGGTTGCCTTGATTTTAAATATTAAATATTAATATAGATCATTATCTTCTTACTCTCTATCATAGCGTATAGATCCGTAGACTTACGGTTAGACTTGGAATGAAAGGAGTCGTCATCAATTTTTTTTGTTAAGTGTGACTGGTCACCTGATTTAAGCTGATCTGTAAAATAGAGGTTAGGTTCGAAAGTCGATTATGCATGAGAAAGATTGTAGTACCCCCAATACACCCATCCAAAGGATGATCACCAGTTTAATTTCAAATTATCCGGGCTTTGCTTATTTTCAAATAGCAAATTTTATATTTTCTTTTTTTTTTATATTTTATATTTTCATTTTTTATAAAAAGACATAATAATAATTTTTTTTTTGACAAAAAGATAGAATAACAATTTTTCCTTTTTAAAAAAAATCAAAAAATAAATATGGGTAAAATAAAAAAATAAAAAAAATAAAAAAATAGAAAAAAAAACCTACGGTTAGATCAGGTCGGGACGTGGGTCAGCACGCGGATCTTCGGGTCAAAGTACGAATCCTGGCTTGGCGAAACAACGTCGTTCTGGAGTGGTATAAAAGGGTCTTTTCAGTGTCCTCAGAACTTTTCTCTCTCTATCTTTCAAAATACTCTGACCTCTCTCTAAAAATCCACTGAAAAGTTTCACCGAAAATTAGAAATCCCATCGGTTTCTGAAAACTTCATTGAAAAATTCAATCAAAAACTAGAGAACTTACCAGTTTCTGGAAAGCCTGCTGGATTCTGGAAATCTTGTCGAAAAATTCAAACACTGCCAAAAAATTCAACCAAAAAATTCATCATTCGTCGAAAAATTCATCCCAAACCCCAAAAAAAAAAAAAACCCAAAAAAATTCCAAAAACATTTTGAAAAATTCAAAAAAATTTCTAGGTTGTCCTATACATCCCCAAAACCTTTCACTACTTTAAAATCCACCCCAAAAGCCCGAAATCCCTCAAGAACTCTAAATCAAAACCAAAACCCTAATTTTCGAATCCCATAAGCCCCTTATACTAGAATTTACCCTAATAATTTCCCTTGTATTTTTCTTTTGTTTTTTGTGTCCTTCAGTGTTAGAAAAAAGTCTAATTTATAGTCATCATTTGGAGTAATTCAAGAAACTGACAGAATTAATCCTAGGCTTGATTCCTGGGATTACATTCTATCCAAACGAGATTTTAGGTCTAAAATTTCAACAGTCTCCTGCTGATACAATTTGTAATCAAAGCTTTGATTCAAGATTTCACCCACGTACACACTGAATCAAGAAGGAAAGCAGCTAAACAACAGAAAAAGAAATAATAATAATAATAATAATAATAATAATAATAATAATAATAATAATAATAATAATAATAATAATAATAAGAGCACCTAATTGGACCTGAGAGGGCTAAAATGAACCCAAACCAAAATGGGCCTGACCAGTATGGGTCTAGTTGGGCCCAAGTTAGAATGGGCCTAATTGGGTAAGGATCGAAATGGGCCTAATCAGGTCCGGACTAAAATGGGTATCTATAGCTGTCCCTCTTTGCACATCTTTGTAGACAAGGATGTTGTAAAGACCTAGACACCCAATATGGACTTGAATTCAAAAAATGACTTAGACTAAACGAAAGTTAGGAGACCGAGACGAAACCACAAATCATAAAAAATAATCTGGATTGAATCAAGATCAAGTGATCGAGACGAAACCACAAGTCAAATGGAATAAAACGACCAAGACCTAGTCAACGTCTAAAACAAATTATCGAACAGAACCACAAATCATCAGAAGTGATCTGGACTGAGCCAAGACCTAGTGACCAGGGCGAAATCACAAGTCAAAATAAAACGACCAGGATCGAGTCAAAGTTGAAATAAATGATCGGGATGAAATCACGAATCATAAAAAATGATCTGATGAGTGAGATAATACACATACATGCCTTATCTAGGATGCAAATAAATCATTAGTTATGGTGTTAAGGCTTATGTATCCTTGTTTTTGTACACCTTTAGTGGAGAAACCATTGAGTATTATCTTGTACGTTCACCTTTACTGTGCACGCTAGTAGAAAAATCTTCTTTCACATTTGGTAAAGAAGCTATTAAACTAAGGGTGCATCTCAAAGAACCCATCAACCTCAAGTCATTTTTCATTAACCTAGAGACATTTTTTTTTGTTAAAGAAGTCTTTTCACCTATTTGAAG